GGAGGAGTTCTGTCTCCTCCAGTATTAACGGTTTCCTTCGTTCTTGCTCCACCTTCAGGCCCAGCTGGTGGACCTTCGCTCGGAGCTGACGGAGGCCAAAGCCGAGCGTTCTGTGGTAGAACGTGAGGTTCACGACCTGCTGCTGCAGCTTCACGCTCTGCAGCTGCAGCTTCACGCCAAGCAGGGCCAGGAGGGCGAGTCAGACACCATCAAAGACCGACTGGTAGGAACCGGAGAGGTAGAGGCGCTGCTTAGAACCAGAAGGTCCACAGAGGTCCAGAGTCCAGCTTCAGCTTTGTTACCTGGACACACTTGAGTCAGCACAGGGTTCTATGTAGCTAACCGGAGAACCCACCAGGACTGACTGTACCTGGGCCTCAAACAGCCAGTGTTCTGTATTATATTACTGTCCTCTGTGTGGAACGTTGGTACAACATAACGGGAAGAGGCTCCTCAAAGAACCCTCAACAAGGGTTCCTTTAGTTGTCATGAATAGGTTCTTTAAAGAACCGTTTTCAAGGTAGTTCTTGGTGGATCCGGCTGGTTCTACTTTGAATGCAGGACTGATAATCATTTAGGTCATTTTTTATATTTTTGGGTTCCTTCAGTTAGACTTGGTCAGACAGAACAACATGTTCTGTGTTTGGTACGTTTTCTGATGTTGAACTCATCCAGAACAACGTTTAGCTACAGCTCTGATTTCATGCTGCTACCTGAAACCAAACCGAAGAGCTCTAAACAGGAACAACCTGTACAGAACCACCCAAAGCAGGTGAAGAACCATCTTTACTTGGTGATGGAGGTTTGAAGAACCAGACAACCTTCTGTATAACCGACGGACTGAACGTTACGTCAGTTTGGACTCAGTCTTCCAGAGTTTATCTCGGTGCTGAAACGGAGGCAGCTGGGTCTCATCAGAGAGGTTCTTTCGGTTCTCCAGCTGTCTGTAGTGAAATTAAAGGAGGAAAGACTTCAGGTGGTGGTTCCTCAGCAGTCTGACCTGGTGTGGATGTTCTGACGGTGAGAAGTTTAAACTGAAATGTAAACAGAAGCAGATGTCTGCATGTCTCACCGGGTCTCTGTAGAGCTCAGGT